GCACAGGGCAGAATGCCAGCCATCTCTGGGGCCTGGGGACAGCACGGAGTTCAGGAACTGGAGGGCAGTCAATGCATATCACCTTAAAGTGGGGTTACTCGGTGACACTGCTGTTGATTGACGATCAGAGGAGCGTTTATTGGGGTGAGTCCTACCCTAGTTGGCAGCCATGGATTGGTTGGTTTGCAGGTTTGTATTCACAGAGCTGTATGGTCCCTGATCAGCCAGAGATATTTAAACACGTGGCAAGGCTCCTTGTGACCATAGCTACAGAAGAATCTGTCTTTTCCTAAGTTAGTTGGGAAGTTTGAGGAACGTTTTCACTCTTCCCCTCGTGGAACCATCACTCAACATGCAAGACCATTTCTAGCGTGAGCATCCTGCCTTATCTGTCCATCCTCCGTTCTGACAATGGTCTCGTCTAACTTGCAAATCACCCAAAACAACACTTCTGAGGCAAGGGTCTTCATCCCTGAGTTTTGTACCCATTGTGGACGGTAATCTGTTGATTATCTGTGGTATTAATAGGAAAGGGCAGCCAAATGGTAGAGGAAATTAAGGAAACACATTAGATTTATGATTAACAGGTGAATTATTATTTAGCACACAACCATTTTGAAAAGATGAGAAGTCTAACATGTAAGTCCATGACCCCCAAAGAATGCATATATGTGGAGAGATTAGGCTAATTGTTCACTTAGAGAAATTTTTTTTTTAATTTTCAGCATAACAGTATTTATTGTTTTTGCACCACACCCAGTGCTCCATGCAGTCCGTGCCCTCCCCAATACCCACCACCTGGTTCCCCCAACCTCCCACCCCCTACCCCTTCAAAACCCTCAGATTGTTTTTCAGAGTCCATAGTCTCTCATGGTTCACCTCCCCTTCCAATTTCCCCCAACTCCCTTCTCCTCTCCATCTCCCCTTGTCCTCCATGCTATTTGTTATGCTCCACAAATAAGTGAAACCATATGATAATTGACTCTCTCTGCTTGACTTATTTCACTCAGCATCATCTCTTCCAGTCCCGTCCATGTTGCTACAAAAGTTGGGTATTCATCCTTTCTGATGGAGGCATCATACTCCATAGTGTATATGGACCACATCTTCCTTATCCATTCGTCCGTTGAAGGGCATCTGGGTTCTTTCCACAGTCTGGCGACCGTGGCCATTGCTGCTATGACCATTGGGGTACAGATGGCCCTTCTTTTCACTACATCTGGATCTTTGGGGTAAATACCCAGCAGTGCAATTGCAGGGTCACAGGGAAGCTCTATTTTTAATTTCCTGAGGAATCTCCACACTGTTCTCCAAAGTGGCTGCACCAACTTGCATTCCCACCAACAGTGTAAGAGGGTTCCCTTTCTCCACATCCTCTCCAACACGGGTTGTTTCCTGTCTTGCTAATTTCGGCCATTCTAACTGGTGTAAGGTGGTATCTCAATGTGGTGTTAATTTGAATCTCCCTGATGGCTAGTGATGATGACCATTTTTTCATGTGTCTGATAGCCATTTGCTTGTCTTCATTGGAGAAGTGTCTGTTCATATCTTCTGCCCATTTTTTGATATGATTGTCTGTTTTGTGTGTGTTGAGTTTGAGGAGTTCTTTAGAGAAATCTCGTATGCGAAGTGATGGGCATTGAGGGCGCATGTGCTGTGATGAGCAATGGCTGTTACATGCAGCTGGGGAGCTGCTAAACACTGAAAACAAACAAATAAATAAATGATAACAGTGTTATAAAGATAATCAGGAAAAGCCTAATTTGGCTTGAATGTTCACTTTCTTTTACCTTATTACTTCTTTTTCTGTGAATCTACTCATGAGCATGTTGAGTATTTGGTAGAGTAATTCATAGAATTCAACTCTCCAGACTTGGTTAGGTGCCTGGTCGCTATCATTGATTAGTAAGGAGCAAAGATCTAAGGAGTCCCCGATTCAGAAAGCCACAGGTGAGCCACCAAGAGACATTAGACAACTAGAAACCTAAAACCTCCCAGACAACAAAGATCCTCCTCCTAGCAGGGCCTCTGCTATCCCAGAAGCACCATTTTAAATCAGTGACCCTGTTTCTTCTGACAACTGAGTTGGTGTTGAATGCCACACCAAGAGAAGTGTCAGTGCTGATCAACATTTCACACTGAGGTCCTAGAAAATGTGCTTTTCTGAGACACATGGAGTTCTAGGACTCACCTATAAACAATTCCTGACTCCAAGCAAACCATAAAAAGAAAGTAATTAGAAAAAATATTTAACTTGAGTTTAGACTAGAACCCCAAGGGGTTCTCATGGAACACGGCAAGAATTGTTGAAACATGACACTTGAATCTTTGTTGGAAGGACCCGTGGATGTGGGCCCCCACCCTGCTGTACTAATAACTCTGTGAGAAAGGAGCATGAATCTAACACCTGTGAAGGAACATTCTGCTGGAACACCCTACTGACGTGGGAGAAATCATCCTGAAGACAAACTTAGAAATACAATACCTGGAACCTGTTTGAGAACACACTTCACTCACCAGGAGAACTGTGACATGGAGGAAAACCCTTGCAGGTCCAATGAATGTATGTTCTATTTGGGAATAGCTCTTCCTCTGTAAGAGCCTGGTAGGCTGTACCGGAAGAACGTGAGGTTTTATAGTATAATTGCCAAATAGCCTTTGAATCAGGGCTGCACGTAGGGCACTTAACCTCCCTTTACAAGGACCATGACTGAAGCCATGGGCTTCCATGAAACGGTCTTATAATAGTTAGGCTCCCTTCCTAAGACTTATTTTTATAGAAATACTCAAATCCTACACTTAAATGTAGGTTATACACCTGGACGAGCAACCACTGTGGTCCTATCCCTCGGATGAATGATGAGCTACATCCTGACATGGCAGCCCTTTTGGATATAGGACGGGATCTGAGTGTAGGGATGGGCAGAATCTCAAGAGAGGCAGATACTCTGAGTGTCAATCACTAGGAAAGAAGATGGTTCCCCAGAATGGAAACCTTGCAACCTCTTCCACTATGCAACAGGAAACTCCTGCAAATTGAATGTGCAACTTTGGGGGTCTAGCTCAGCCTTACAGAAGGTTGGCTTTACGTTGGTAGTTTCGTTGTGGAGCTCATTGTGTCTTGCAATGGAAAGTTGAATATATAAAGGACTGAACGTGGGCTTCTGGAGTCAGTCTGCAAAGGCTAATGACCACAGGGAAGGCAGACATGGAGTCGCAATGGGAGGGGCTGGTCGGGTCCCAAGAGTGTGCCATATCTCAAAAGCCGGAATATCCGGGTGTGTGTTGCTGTGTTTATTTCTACTTTAACAAAAGTCTAGTTTTAGTGTTCTGCCTTCATATCAGCTGTGCTGTGGAGAACTAAGGGGTGGGTGCAAGGGACTCACAACCTGAGTGGCCAGTGTTACCACCAAAAAAGTGCTGAGAGGGAGGAGAATTTCGGGAGGGGGCGTGGTTTAACGGTCAGGACCAGAATTCTCCTTCAGTTGCCATCTTTGGAAAATGGGGGGAAATGTCTTCCCTGATGCCATTTTAGGATTGAGTTTTATTAAAAATTTGGTGGGTTTCCCTGTTTTATGCTGGAAAATGAAACTATACATTGTGTTTGCATTTCCGTAAATGAATTCCCCGCAATGCACTACCAGACATGTGCCAATAATCTGAGAAAGCTTACTATCGTGCCATCTCGGGGTGAGACTGGGATGTAGAAAGGGAGACTTTCACTTCTCGTTTTATGTCTGTTGTTAAGGGGTGCAGCATGGTGCACTGTTTGTTCCAATATTGATGATCTTTACAATTGTGCAAGAATCAGTGTTTCGTTATTCAAGGAAATGATGGGAAGGCTATCGTACAAATTTAATAATTCATATATCAACTAATATCGCTTTAACCATAGTATTCCTATGTATGCCTGATATTTTATATGATAGACAAGCCGATATCTTTTGACTCTAATTTATGGATGTAGCCATGAACTGGGTAGGTGGTTTAGGTTGACGAGAATGACCTTCTGACTTGGCCCTTTGTCTGAAAGTTTGTATGCTGCCTGAGAGAGAGCTGTGTAATTCTCCTTTCCAAATGCACTGGGGTCACAGAATGCTGGTGTTGGGAAGAATAAAATCTAATATCCATGTAGTCTCACATACCGGTGAATGCTTGATTAGCCCAGAGAGCCTGCCTGGGCCAGTTAGCTTGCTAGTTTAGTAAATCTATCCACTGTGATTTCTCCATATTTAGGCTGTCTTTTTGTCAGATATTCCTTATTTCAATTCCCCAAAGATGGAAGTAAAAGGACTGGAATGGAGGGAAGAGCCCCTTTCCCAGAAATCCCACGCCTCTGGAGAAGGGACTGGAATGTGGACAGCCCAGTTCTGTGGAAACCTGCCCACAGGGGACCTGGGAGCACCCAACTGGGGAGAACCTAAGAGTCTGGAGTCTGTTTTCCACGAAAGTTGGGGAAAGGAAAGGACACAGAATAAGCCCCGAAGGAGATCAGTGTCCTGGTGAGTGAACTCTCCCCAACAGTCATAGGAAGCTGACACCAGAAGAAATTCTAGAAAATTCCTTCAAGGAGGATTCACATGAACACAGAAAGCTGTTAAAATTTCAGGAAATCAGGCTTTTATTGTCCAAGGGGTTGGTAAGGATTGAGCATGCTTTTGATTACTCCTGGACCTTTGTCAGTAAATTATGTCCTGCATGACCGATCTATTTCTGTTTTCCTTGCTGAGTAAACAGCAATAGGGAATTAGTGTTTGCCACATTTATTACAGATGCTCCCATTCTCCTTCCATTTCTAAGACGTAAGCACGCACCCCAGCCCCATCCCCATGTTTCCACAGCTGAGGGTGGGCTCCACAGGCTGCCAGTTTCCCACACCCAACCGTCAAGGACTTCCTCTTCCGATGGATGGGCAGGAGCCCAGCATCAGTGTCCGGTTCAGCTCACACGCCTGACGGGCATGAGGAGCCCTTCATGGAGCTTCTGCTGATCTTTTCCAGGCGAAGACCTCTGCGCAGCAGCCCCAGATGGTGTTCACCGTCCGCCACACCACCGTCACCTTCCAGACAGAAGGGGACACGTGGAGGGAACAGAAGGAGCAGAAAGCTGCCCTGATGGTGGGCATCCTCATCGGGGTGTTTGCGCTCTGCTGGCTGCCCTTCTTCACCACGGAGCTCATCGGCCCTCTTTGCTCCTACGACATCCCCGCCGTCTGGAAGAGCATCTTCCTTTGGCTCGGCTACTCCAACTCCTTCTTCAACCCGCTCATCTACACAGCGTTCAACAAGAACTATAATAGCGCCTTCAAGAACTTCTTTTCTAGGCAACACTGAGCGTGAGGCCTGGGGAGGAAGGGGACAAGATCCTCGAACTCAGTGAAATTTCCAGCTCCATCTGTTTCCCCGTCCCTACCCATGGATCCCTTCCACATGGAAGAGGCACATCCTCCAGGCTCTCCTGGGTCATCTTCAGAATTAGCCCTCATTTCCCCACTCCTAGGTAGGAATGTGGGTCTTCACAGGCAGTTTGGGTGCCCTTTTTTTTTCTTTTACAATTTTTAGGGGACGCCTGGGTGGCTCAGTTGGTTGGACAACTTCCTTCGGCTCAGGTCATGGTCCCGGAGTCCAGGGATCGAGTCCCGCATTGGGCTCCCAGCTGCTTCTCCCTCTGACCTTCTCCTTGCTCAAGCTCTCTCTCACTGTCTCTCTCTCAAATAAATAAATAAAATCTTTTTTTAAAAAAAGTCTTTTACAATTTTTAAAAAAGATTTTATTTATTTATGTGACAGAGAGATCACAAGTAGACAGAGAGACAGGCGGGGGGAGGGGGGAAGCAGGCTCCCTGCTGAGCAGAGAGCCCGATGCAGGACGCGATCCCAGGACTCTGAGATCATGACCCGAGCCACCAAGATGCCCCTGGGTGACTTTCTTGATCTAACCTAATCTGTTATTGTTCACTCTGCACCTAACAGACACAGACTTTGCCCACAAAATGCCCTTCCCCCTCCCCCCAGTCCACTCCATCGTGGTCATCGTCCTGGCCCCAGAGAAGTCAAACAAGGTAAACGAGAGGAAGGAAATCAAGCAACGTGGTTAGAAAATGATGGAGAAAAAGTCAGAACGGGGACACCGGAGGGGTAGGAAACCGTTATTTCCAGTTTTCTGGAATAGTCCCTAACTTGAAATTTCATTCTATGGTCCTGGTAAGTATACCCTAGTACTTACTGTGTACGTCCCAGTGTTTGGCTACAAGATATTGTCTCTAACCCTACTGAAGTGCATAGCCACAGCACAGCAGCTGTGAATATTGGCTTTAAGACTTTGTGGCAACCACGCACGTGTGCTCCATGCACACACGTGCACACACGCACACACACACACACACACAGCTATGGAGGAGGTCAAGGTTCCGCTTGGCTAGTTTATTCCAAAATTCAACCCATCAACTTGGAAAGGAACTAAAAATCAAACACCTCTTTCCATTCTGAAGCAACTGTACAATCCACTGGTTTTGTAGAATCTGTCGAATTTGCTTATTTTCTATGGGTTTTATTTGTATGGAATTTATTCGGGTGTTACAGGACAAAGACCTCTATCCTTGGATCATGGGTGTCGAGGAAGTGTCATGACGTGGGTGACTGACCTCAGCACAGCTTCACAACCGAGGACCGTGATGGCACACTCACCAAACACGTAAATTTACAGGGACAGTTGTTAATTCTCTGTCTTTTTATTGGTGTGCAAATCCCTGCTAGGAGGCCAACACTAGCAACTAGTGAGAAAGGCAGAAGCACAATAAAATGTGGCCTCAGTCCCTTACAAAACGACTCCTTTCTATAAAGGAGTTGATGATGCAGCATTTATAGGATCAGAGAAAACCCAGGCCGTTAGGCAAAACTTTGAAAAGCCTCAGACAATAAAACTGCCGTCTGCTACGTCCCTGATTCTTGGAATGTGTGAATTTAAAATTATGTATGATAATCACCTTTGAATTATTATAATAAATATAAGTATTCTTTTGTTTATCATAAATTATATCAATTGAGATTTCAAAAATAGGAAATTTGTGTTCATTTGTATGCTTGGTTGGAAGTTTAGTCTTGCCCTTACTGCAAAGTCTTTGCTCCAAGAATGTGAGTGAAGGAGAAAGTGTTGTACATCTTTTGTGAGGTTGTGACTGACATTGCTAAGTACTGACCTCATGTCTAGAAGAATTTACTCAGAAACATTCTCAGATTTTTTCTTCCTTCTGCATTTATCACTTCAAGTGCCGAACCCATAAATATCTCAAAATACAGATTGTTGAGTTACCTTCCCTGCTATTACCTGGAACGACAGAGGCTCCAAGTCCTATTAGACGCTGGTGTGGTAATAAAGAAGGGCTTCCAGAATTCCACCAGCGCCCACAGCGGACGGAGCCATGCTCAGACACTGCAGAGAACCTGGAGATGCCCCATCAGAACCAAGGGTAAAACAGTTAAAGTCTATTCTCTCTGAAAGTGCATGTGAAATTCTTTACTATATGCCATAATTTCAATGTTTGCCTTCTTGTCTTTAAAGAAAAGGGTTATTTCCTTCAAACTTTTCAGTAACGTGAGGCTTTCGGAGAACGTGCCACATTTGTCTGGTGGCTTCAGTAACTTCTGGACGCCCCCCCAAGGGTTCTACACACCTTGTTGGAGAGATACGTCATCATAATATCCATTTCAATCTCCTACTGAGTTATTACTATCTTGTGAGATGCGTAAGGCACGGGACTGTTTGTATGTATCTCACACTTCCCAGATGTCACTTAAAATATTCCCGGTACGGAACACTCTAGAGACACCACCCAGAGCTGGAAACACCATCTGCGAGAAGGACCAAGTGGCAACAAAAGAATCCTTTTGCTTCCATGTCAATACCGAAGGCTGCTGACCACTAGGAAATGTTACAAAATGCAAATGGTGGTCCAACTAGGTGTGTCGGGGGCATTTCGTCCCCTGCGACTCCGCTGGCTGCCCAGTGCTGACCAACAGTCTCATGCACAGTTCTGTCCATTCGCCGGGCTGGGGTCCTCGCCCTCTCGAGCAGCCCCTGAGTGACAGGGGCCAGGTTAGCTCTGAGGACTACATCCTTCATGGGTGGCCCGTGTCTGGCCACTATGAGGTCACCCAGCCACACACCAGCGCTCTGTCCTGTCCCGCCCTTTGCATTCAGAGCCGCACACTCTTCCTGACTCCTCTCGGGTGCAGAGACATTGTCTCTGGCCATACTGGTGTCTCTGTTGACAGGAATGAAGAGGGTCCCGACCCCTGACCCAGACGGCCACACGCTGCGGGCGGTAGCTTTCCACATGACTGTTTCCAGGCTCCACCGTCCAACTTCTCTGGGGGTGTCGTGGGCTGAGCCATGTGCCCCCAGAATTCGTATGTGATGCCCTAACCCCCAGCCCTCAGGGCGTAACCGGACGTGGAGGCGATTAAGGGAAAGTGAGGTCGGGAGGATGAGTCCCGATCCCGTGTGACCGGTGTCCCTCTAAGAAGAGAGGAGGACACAGGCACATGGAGGGACAGCCACGTGAGGACATGGGGGGAGGATGGTTCCACACGCCAGGGAGTGGCCACAGGAAGGACCCACCTGCTGGCACCATGATCTCGGCCACCCAGCCCTTGCAACAGAGAAAATGAATTTTGTTCGTTTAAATGGCTTGGTGTGCGGTACTTGGCTAAGTCAGCCCAGACACACTAATGCAGGATAGGTTTAGGGATAGGGTTAGGGATAGGGTTAGGGATAGGGTTAGGGTTAGGGTTAGGGTTAGGGTTAGGGTTAGGGTTAGGGATAGGGTTAGGGTTAGGGTTAGGGTTAGGGATAGGGTTAGGGTTAGGGTTAGGGTTAGGG